GCTCCTGGGGCTCAGGGGGTGCTCCCCTCACTGCCCGCGGGGTCCCAGCTGCTCTCCTGGGGCTCAGGGGGTGCTCCCCTCACTGCCCGCGGGGTCCCAGTTGTGCTCCTGGGGCTCAGGGGGTGCTCCCCTCACTGCCCGCGGGGCCCCAGCTGCTCTCCTGGGGCTCAGGGGGTGCTCCCCTCACTGCCCGCGGGCTCCCAGCTGCTCTCCTGGGGCTCAGGGGTTGCTCCCCTCACTGCCCGCCCGCTGGGACACGCCGCCTCAGCCCGGAGCTCACCTGCCCGGCGCTGGGCAGAGCGACAGTGGCAGGGCCAGGCTGAGAGGGCTCCAGTGGCTGCTCAGACGGGGGAACAGCTCTGGACAAGTTTGGCAATAGCCAAAGGTCAAGTTTGGCAGTAAACAGGAGTTGGTATAAACAGGGCAATGCCAATATCAACGGGAGAAGATGTAACTGGTCATGAACATCTTTTGTCTACGGAGACCAAGTTCCTACTAAGACAAAACAAAACTAGAGCCAGGATGGTGGATCTGCTGCAGATATTCCACCTGAGGGCCTTGCCTGTGCTGTCTTAAATCTATCTTCATATCAGTTTGACCATATTTTCTGTATGTCATTGCCTCTATGCAGTTAAATAATGGTGGAAGTCGGAAAGAAGACAATTCTTTCACTTAAAAATTAATCTTATTTTTTTTTTAATATGTTTTTGTATTCAGTATGTATCATGGATTAAACTTCGCTGGCAACTTAGCTCCACACAGCTGCTCACTCACTCCCCCCAACACCGAGTGGGATGGGGAAGAGAATTGGAAGCATAAAAGTTAGAAAACTCTTGGGTTGAAATAAAAACAGTTTAATAGGTAAGGCAGAAGCCATGCACACAAGATAACGAAACAATTCATTCACCACTTCCCACTGGTGGACAAGTATCCAGATATCTTCAGGAGCAGGGGTCCATTCTGCTTAAGTTACTATGGAAGAGAAATGCGAACACTTGAAATATCCCCCCTTTCCTTCTCCCTCCAGCTTTATGCTGACACCCAGCTGGGATCAGATGTATTGGATGGGTCCTCTCCCCTCTCCATATGCATCCCCAGTCCCCTCACTGGTGCAGTAGAGTGAGAAGGAGAAAAGGCCTTGATGGTGTGTAAGCACTGCTCAGCAATGCTGAAAACAGCCCTATCTTGACACTATTTTGAGGACAAATTGAAAACAGCCCTGTAATAGCTACTATAAAGAATATTAACTCCATGCTAGCCAAACCTACACAGTATGTTAATTTAATGTAACTTTATTTGCTGGTATGTTCTATTTTAATTGCATATATGTATAATTATTATAAGTTACTCATTCCGGACTTGATATACCCAGTTCTAGTACTTGATGGAGTACATTGTTTCTTCACACAATCTAGCAGAATATATGCTACCTGAGCGTGTTTTACATATGTCAAAGTTGTAAAATACCATCAGTAGTCTTACCCTTTTGTTCTTAGAGGTCTTTGCTAATGTTCTGAAAGACTTAAAAGTTTTTGTTTAATGAATGGCTGCAGCATGTCATGGGCACAGAATGAACTTGCTCCAGAGCTACGAATTGATTTCCTTCAAAATCAGTTTGTGATTTTGTGGTGGGAGAGGGCCAGATTTAAGATATTTATACATTGAACTGTAGACTTGTCTCATCTGTAAACATCTGAAATTCCACCTGGAATGTGACAGCTGAACTGCAGTTGCTGTAAGTGCAATATTGTACTCTGCAGGCAGCTCATACTTGGCACAGAATAAAGACTGAACGCTGAAAAAAATTTCAGAAAGTGGTGCTGACCGATCTGAAGTTAAAAGGCTTGACAAGAAGCTCTTTCACATCCTGCCAAAAATAAGCTGTAAAGTTCTGCCCAGACTGGCTTAAAATGCAAGAGTGTTCAGAGACCCAGAAGGAAGAGGAGAGTGACTGCATTCAAGACACACCTGTGGCTTCTGTCTCAGGATACCACTGGCTGCTCTTTGATGTAAGCAGCCCAATGCCACTTGTTCCCTGTATGAGTTCTGTTAATCACACCAGTGCAGCCACCACTAAGTAGCCAGGCAAAGAGCATGTTGGACAACATGTGCAGGTCCAAATTAGACTGGAGTGTCCTGGTCAGAGGTATCTTGATGGATCTTCTAAGAATGAAGTTATATTTGTGGTGATATCAGTAATGAGAGATGGTTTCTTTGTGGCCTCATATTTTTGTTTTAATTACAGGTTTATTCTTGGATGCTTAAGCTGGCTTGTTTTGCAAACAGCAGTCTTAGTTTCTACTCATTTGTTCGAGTATTGAAAACAGTAACATTCAGGGTTCAGTCAGAGCACTGTCCTGCTGAGGTTTTTTCCCCACACTGAAAAGTACAATGATTTGTGTTTTTAAAGATTCCATACCTCTAGCATATGCAGACAGATAGATGCATTAAGTAATTTTTCTTCAAAACTTCTGTAATTTTAATGTCATGAAATACACTGATTCCTTACAAAGGCAGACAGCACCAAGAACTAAACAGCCATGAAGTGAGAATTCAGGATTGATGTGAATTACCTCAACTGTGGGATTATTTTTCTTTTAGCTGGCCCAGTGCATATACATTCCAGTAGTTGGTTCAACTTCATCTTTTTGTAGACAAGTCTGCAAAAAATAAAATAGTTTGTAAACAGACATGGAAGTAATGGGTTGGATAACAGCTAGAGTATATTGGTGTAGCTCTGGATGTGCACTAATCCAAATTCTATGTGACAGCAAATTGAATAGTTCTACTGCTGTCAATGAAAGGCCAATAGAAAAAAGTTAGCTTAGCCTATCCCTTAGTCAGGCCCTGAGGGGTCTGAAATGCACAATGAGCTGAAATTTGTTTGATTCTAATTTGTTTGATAATTATTCTCCCATGAATACTTCTCTGTATTGACATAGTCCAGTCAAAAAATGTTACAAACCAGTGACATCACCAATAGTTTCTGCTGGGATGTCAAACTTTTACTCACATCTTAGATAGAATGATTTTGCTACCATAGGTTTTTTCTTTTTCTTTTTTTTTTTTTTTTTTTTTGGGGGGGGGGGGTATTGTTTATCTTCTTCCCATTTTTTCTTCATTCTTGTTTACTGCCATAATGTTTCAGTATGGCCCTTTATCACTTGGAGAACAAGTACATGTGAAATCTGTTCAAATCCAGTAAGATTCCATCAGAGCTATTAAAAAATATTTGCTGCTTCTCATTTCTCTCTGGAGGATCCTTTGAGGTGACAGCTCTGGACTGTTTCATCCATGCCATCATCTTCTGGAATATGTTTGATTGTAGCAATAGTGGCACATTGAGAGTTTGGCTTTAACTTAGTGATTGAGTTTTCACTGGATCAGTGAAAAATGTGCAGTGTTTCTACCTGCTGGATTTGGCTTTATTTAAATTTCTAAGTATTTGCAATTTAAATCAGAGTGTGTTCTACTTGGCCTGTTTTTCTCAGCTATTCATTTTCCAAAAAAGAAGCAGCTGTGGCTGCAGAACCAAATGTGTAATGACTGGAGCACAAAATGAGGAAAAACAAATTCATTTCCTCATAAATAATTTATATTTCACCACCTCAGTGTAATAAATAGTTTAATTGGTATTGGTATATTATTGGCTTGGAATAACAAAAGGCCTAATCTCACTTTATTGTATTTCACATTTACCATAATGCTTTCCATCTGAACAGTATTATTCTTAAAAATGTTTTTTATGCTTAGCTTTTAACTAGTGATTTAGTAACAGATCATAAAAAAATGTCCCTCTAAGAAATCTCAGCTAATTTCTGTTTGTTGGAGTCACTAGGAAAGAGGTATCCATTTTTTCAATCAATGATCCTGAGAATAGATAGCAAGTTGTTGTTGATCAAATCTGTGTTTGGCAGCCTGTGGGTGAACACTGACAAGGGCAGAGCAACCTGGCCTCTTCTGCTGCCTGGCTCTCATCCACCATCTGTGTACAAAGTCAGCACAGTGTTGGGGTTTTGCATCTAGTGCTCAGGGCAGAAGCAACACAATTCCCTGGAAAGCAGTGACACTGGAAATTGTAGGGAAAAAATCAGCATCTGCTTCCAAGGGTTCTTTGAATACATACGAGCAGAGATGAGCATAACACTGATCCTAGTTTTGTATGCTGCCTGATGAGTCTGATGCTCAATTTGTAATTTTGACAGGAAATAGAAAAAAATGGAGCACTGAAAGAGAAAAGGGAATTACTGAGGGGTACCCCTGTTAGACTGAAAATCTCCCAATGTTATTCTATTGAAAATAAACTGATACAAAATATGGTTGTGATGTGTCATAATCTTCTTAGGGGGAAAAAAGGAAACAAAGGAAACTTTAACAGAGAAAGGATAAAAGAGTATATGAAAATAGAAGTCAAAATTCAAATTTAAAAGAACAACTACTTAATTACTAGAACTAGAAGCAGTAAAGAAGTCTGGTGGATCCTTCATTTTTCAGTGCTTTCCTGAGTACAACATGCCTTTAAGGAAGAACTGCTTTAGTCCAGTGTTAATCAAACTTTCTGGAAATAAAGTACTCATCTATGCATGCTTCCTGGAGCTGGCAGCAGTTGCTCAGTTTCTTCCAAAAGAGAAAGAAAAGCCAGAATAAACTCTTTCCACAGAGAGAAAATGCTTGTTTAGTTGAACACAAGCATAAGTGGTTAGCCCCAAACACAAACGTAACTGGGTGGAATTCATTGTCCTTGGAAGCTACAATGGAAGAGGCAGTAAAAGTTAATCATTACAAAATCTTTTTTTTGAAATCTGGATTGGAAAATGCTATCTCTAGCTAATTTGTTAATATTTTCATGCACATTTCATTCTGAGGTAAGTTTCTGCCCAAACCCTGGATCAGTTTGCTAATATTTGAGTTGTTCAGCTTACATTTCAAAATACATGTTGACACATATTTTGCAGGAGAAGTTTCATTAAATAGTCAGTGGCCAGAAGAGGATTGTTCTTCCTTTGTTGAATAAAGATCAAAAAGAGTGTGATCTAAGCCTGGTTTCAGCCTACTGACTGCTGTAATGATAAATATAACTTAAAATTCTTCCTCACTATCATGAAGTGAACAGGAAAACTTGATGATCACAGAATCGCAGAATAATCTGAGTTGGAAGGGATCAGCAAGGAATATCAAGTTGAAATCCTAGTCCTGCACAGAAACACACCCAAGAATCACACCATGTGTCTGACAGTATGGTCCAAATGCTTCTTGAACTTTCTAAGTGGTGCTGTGACCACCTCCCTGGGGAACTCTTCCCGTGCCAGCCATCCTCTGGGTGAAGAACCTTTTCCTGATGTCCAGCCTAAACCTCCCCTGACACAGCTTCAGGCCATTCCCTTGGCTCCTGTCACTGGTCACCACAGAGCAGGGATCAGTGTCAGCCCCTTCTCTTCCCTTCGTATGAGGAAGTTGTATAATGAATGAAAAAACATATTTACTTCACTTCCTCATATATCTTCTTTGATTGCTCTCTCCTTCAGACTGAATGTACATGAGGTTACACAGTTATATTCAAAATTAGCTATTGGTTTTTTCCCCACATCAAATGGGATCTAGTTTCACAGTCCTGATTTTACTGAGACATTAAGGTTTGTCTGGAACTCATATTGTTTTTATACAAATTTTGGGAACACTCAACACTTCCAACAGCCACTTGGTCTTGGCACACTGGTATTCAGATCACAATACAAATATTGAAATTTTTGGACTGTAACATAGGTCTTTTTTGCTGAACTGATTTATTTTAAAATGGGAAAAGCAAGGAGTCATTATTAATATTTTTCTATTAAGTTCTTTTCCTAACTTCAGAGTAATCCTGCTTGAAATTAGACCATGATCTGGCAAAGAGCATGAATTAAAGGAACCTGCATTTTCTAAATTCATAGAAATTCCTCTAACAAATGCTGAAGTATGAAGAAACAAAGAAAAACTTCATTATTCTCTCCCCTCGAATACCAGCCAACCATCTGACCAACCACAACCAAAAACAACTCTTGGAAGAAAATCCTTTGCTTTCCTAAATGCTTTTCCCAATAAAATTTCATGACATTATGTTTCCATGTTATGCCCTCTGTCTTCTGTTTTCTTGCAAATAATACATTTGCAGGCATGCACACACAAACACATCTATGTAAATTAATATTTTATAGAGCAACATGCTAGATACTCAAGTACTTAGAGGATTTGAATTCAAATGCTAACATAGTGCTTGGGATCCAGTTTCTGATAACTTCAACTTAATGCATTTTTTTTTCCTTATAAGAACAAAAGACAGGCTGTGTAAGTTAAGAAAGATTACTTAATGGCTGCATATGACAGGATGGAAGGAAGATTTGCTGTTTAGTAATGAAGTGATAAATTAGCTGTATAAAAAAAGAGGTCCCATTATCCTCTCCTGAATTTTTAGTTGAGAAATATGAGTAATATTGCAGGGACAAGGAAAACTGGATTTTGGTACTACTCCTACCATCTATTCTGCATATTAACTCATCATATTAAATATAGAAACATCCTAGGAAGAAGGAGCTGATGCTGTCAGCAGAGAGAAGAACCCAGGATAGTCTTGTCAGGAAATTACTCAGCACTAGGCTAAAATCACACATTCCTTATCACCTCTAACTTCTTACAACACTGAAAAAAACAGCCTGCCTGTTTCAACCTGAGATAGGTATTCCCCTTTCTAGACTGGGGACTCTACCTCATAAAAGATGTTGTCAGCTGGCCAGGCTCCAGTGTGAAGGTTAGTGCCTCAGAGAGAGATGCTCAAAGGAGAGAGAACCCCTGAAACATTCTCAGGGGTGCAATGAAACTGCCCAGTCCAGCAGAAGACCAAACCTACACAGTTATCTGAGCTTGGGGAGACCTAGGCAGTCACTGCTGCTCTTTGGCCTCTTTTGATTCCAAAAAAGCTGCTTGGGATGTGCTCCATTTCAAAGTTACAAATATTATTTTTGTATATTATATGCTTGCTAAAAGTCAGTTTGTTGAATTTTCCTATAAAGGCCTCTTACCAAGATCACTGGTCTGGAATTTTCCTCTACAAGGTATATGAAGCCTTAATGGGAATAAGGAAAGGAATTTAAAATATGCTGGCAGAGGCAGAGGAGCATACAGCTTTATCCAGGAAGACCTTTTGAGAGAAAAGGGGCTTTTGTGACTACTTGGTTACTTACTTGGGTCATATTTTCACACAGGCTAGGATACATATTTGTCTAAACTTAAGTAAATTATTTGGACAATCCTTAGATATTAACCAAAATATATGCTCAGGAATACCAAATAAATTGAAAATGTATTTAACAATGGAACTGCCTCTTCTCATCTGGAGTTTCAAGACATTTTGATGATTAAATTTGTAGTAGCAGTGTATAAAATTACTTCTGCATTTTACAGTAAAAACCTGCAATTTTTCCAGGGTTAGAACCATGAAAACTCTGCTTTCACGAGAATCAAACACTTGTTGAAGGTAAAATCCATTCCGGAAATGTAAAACTTGAATTACTACAAAATGCATTAGGAGTGTAATTGAGGAAAGGTACTCTTAGTAAAAAAGCTATTTGTAGCTTTAAGAGACAATCACTTGAGACAACAAACAAACAAACAAATAAAGCATATATCTGGTAGGAGGGAGAATTCATATTGAAAGAGATGGTATCACTTTTACAGACAGAATGAGGTTATTGAGTACACATGAATGTATCAGGATAATGGAACTATCAAACTTTGAAGAGATGGCAAGTGCCGTAGATGTAAAAGAAGTGAGGTTAGCACACTTGCAAATTGTCAGATAATGTTTAATGTTTAATGGTTTAATATGTTTAAGCCTTAATATCTGTAAAAGATATTAAAAATATATAGTTCTCTAACTAAATTGATTAGTTTACTGTAGCAATACTGCATTCAATATGGCAATGAAATATTCAAGACTTCAGAAAATCTCTTTAGGAAAATTAACTGAGCCAAAGGAATCCAAATTTAAAACTTCAGAGCTGAGGGTTAATGACATTTTTGAATACTTAAGTATTTATCCCTGTGAACATTGCTTTTCGAAATTAAGATATGTTTATATTATTACTGATTTTGAAACTCCATAATTATGTTTTTACAGAAGACTTATTTTCCATTAGTGGTCAGCCAATTTCCAGCATTTTTTCATTAATGCAACAGCCACACAAAGGTCTGTTGTGCATTTAGGTGGACAGTGTGGGTGAGCCTTTCAGGCAGTTTTTTATATTAAGTAGTAGGTGTTTATATGCATATATTATGCATATACATATTAAGTAGGTGTTTATCTGCATATGTTAAAATCCTTCTTACTGTGGCATGTTACCTACTGAATATATAGACTGTAATGCCAAAACCTGAATGTGTTCTCAGAAGAAATTTAACTGGCTATCTTCATAACCTTACCTTTCCCAGTGTGTCACACTTACAGTTTTGCTTTTCTGTGTGAATACAAAGATTATATTCCAGTTCCTGTTTTAGACAGAAAGTTATACTGAAAGGTATATCTCTGCTACACAAATGGTTTTGAAATGGTTTTAAAATAAAAACCAGCATTGCATATGGATTTCTCTTATTGAAGGTGGGTTCTGCAGGCATAAGGGTGTAAATCCTCACCTCAGCATCACAGGAGTGCTGCCCTTAAGCTTGGTCACAACCATGTCCTGACTTGATATGGACTCTACTGATCTTCGACCAGTGCAGACTCACTGGCTTGTCCTCAGATCTGCCTCATCACCAGAAACCTGCCTGGTAGTCTGGACTCTGAGCTGCCCCCAGATCACCCTGCTGTGTCCTGGCTGGCAGGGTCCTTGTCCCATGGTCAGCTATATCATGGTTGGTTCTTTGGCCCTTTGGGGTCTGCTTTTTGATGAAGAGTTGTGGAAATTCAGTCACGGTGTCAGGAAATGAAGGAACTCTATCATAGTGGTATCTATACCACTGCCTCCTTACAAGAGCCATTCTCCTATCATCCATCTGATGGATGGATGCCCGACACACATATGAAATACAGCAGCTGAGTAAATCCAGTGGCAGAACATGAAGTCTTCATACCAAGATATTTAAAGAGCACACAATGAACCAAGTGCTACAGCTTGGAGTTGAAAGGAATGCTGTATTAGTGCTGCACTAGAACTGAATAGGTTTCCATGGAAGAAAGGAACGAACACCCCTTTTACCTCACCTACCAAGTGTAACACAACTGGAGTTTTACCCAGAGCTCTGGAAAGCCTTACATTAACTTAACATCACTTAACCAGCCACTAAAACGGACAAGCAGTTGGTTAACAAACTGTGGCACTGGCGCTTCACCCCTCAGAAGCAACTTCAGCAATGTTTGTTTTTTATTAACATCCAAATTTACAGCTCAGCACCCTATCGACCATAGAGGAACACCTTTACTGCCCCGTATGCAACAACCCGCCACGGCTAAAGGGCAACGCCTTTTTCTGGCAGCTCCCCCCAGAGCCAAAGAGCCGGCTCAAACCCTCAGCCGCTTCAGAGGAAGGCGGGCGGGGAAGGGCGCAGGCCGCTGTCGGGGCGGGCAGCCCGGCCCAGCTGTACCCGGCCCCAGCCGCAGCCCCCGGACGGCCCGAGCGGGGCGGAGCGCAGCGCACGGGAGGCGGTGCACGGCCGGAAGGGGCGGCCGCGTCTCCCGGGTGACGGGGCCGAGATGGCGGCGTGCGAGGCGGCGGAGCGGCGCGGGCCCGGCTCTGGATGAGGGGCGGCCGGAGGCTGCGGGAGCGGCCGCCTCGGCCCCTGGAGCCC